ATTCATTCCTCTCCCCTCCCCCTGAACCTAGTTTTTTCCCCCTTTTTCTTCAGTGCCCTTGTTGCAGCGTATAATGAAAAAATGGAAGGCTTTGCTGGATTACAGGCCACCAACCCCCCGCAGGGCTGTAAGAAGCTTCATGAAAGCAACCACTTCTCGGGACCTTTTCAACACCACGTTTTCACACCAGGAACACTATGTGTTGGTTGCTGGAAAACTCTTTGTTGAAGGAATGAATGGGCAGATGGAGGAGAAGTGTGGTGGAGGGAACACAGGAGGCTGGAGGGCTCCTCGAACTAACTAGCCGGAAGGGGGTCATATCAGGGCAAGAGGAGGGAGCAGAGCCCAAGTTAACTGCCCATCCCAGTGACCTCCCTGTTAGGAAAATGAAGTGTCAAAGAAAAGCAGTTCCTGAGCAAAGCAGCTGTGCCCCACGGGGGTTACTGGGGCCATCAGTGCAGTCCAGCCCTGTCCCGTCAGGGTGACAAGGACGATGGGCACAGGGACCTGATGTCATAGGAGCCCAGCCCTTGAGGCAGTTGGACAGGACTCAGTCTGTCACTGTCTTCATCCTCGTGACTTTTGGAGTCACCTCCAGATTTTTTGGCCCAGTAAATGATTAAGCAGTTAAATAAAGACGGGCTCATTAAGGAAACATGCTTCCCTGCGTATCTGCCCCAGTTACTCCTAAATTTAATCTGTCCATGAGCCAATTTCCAGGACAAACACACAGTCTATTTTATCTCCCGAGACTTAACCTTGAAGCCATTCGTTGCCTGTGGCTTTTCCTGAGGTCCCTTTCCCACTACCCGTGTCTTCTGAGGCCTGGTGAAGGGGTCCCTTCCCCATGCCCATCCCCAGGCTGGGTGAGGGGCCAGCAGGTCCCGTGGGGCCGCTTAGAGAGAGGGCAGGGCACTGGCAGGGCCCGGTTTGCTAGCAGGCAGGGCCAGGCCCATGAAAGCGCCCTTTCTTCTCTGTCACAAGGCTGCTCCGGCCACGGGGGCTCCGGGGCATAATCGGATTGAGTTTCCTTGGCCGACAGGTTGGCTTTGTTCTGCTGTCCAGATTTGCGTCCGCTTGACTCCCTGAGCTGCTTCTCGAACGCTCTCTGACCTGGTTTCACTGAGGACGTATCAGGCCTTTGCCAGGGTCCACAGGGGTGGCAGGAGCCCAGGGCTAGATGAGGGTTGGGTGGGTTTTAGGGGAAAGGTGGGCAATGAGGAGCCAGGCCAGCCCATGTAGCATGTGCTCATGTCAAATCATGTGTCCCCTGCCTTGCTTTCTGTTTCCCTTCCCTGTGCCCTGAGCCCCATTCCCCTTGAAGAGGAAGTACATGCTCCTTGGGCTTTCTTGAGTGGCCTCGTTGCCCCCCCCCCCCCCCC